TGATGGTTTAATTGTGAGGTCAAGTCAATTGGAAAGACCTCTCAAGGCCTTTCTTTTTAGTTCAGTGAAGTTGTTAAAAAAAATGTGCGATTTTGAGTTTATCTGTCTCTTTCATAGTAAGAGTTACAAATGCTGCTACATTTGGTTTGGTGTTAAGTGAGGGAAACTTATCAGATTTTTTCTTTAAGGTTGATGGTTTCGGAGGGGATTCCTCTCTTTGAAGGAGGGACTCAATGTCTAGTCGATCGATAAGGTCTACAGGTTGCTCTTCATTTAACCACTAGGGGACCTCCCACAGTACATTTACTGCAGCAAAGCAGCCCTTGTAGGCAGGATCACATTTATAAATGTCATCCTGTTTACATGGTAGGGGGTGAGCACGAGGCGTGGCACCGATCGCGGCCTCGGGTGTCAATCACCGGGTCTCAGCGATTGCCTGCAAACACTGACACGGAGCACAGCTACATTAGTTTCAATGCAGCTCTGCTCCCTGTCAGTTTCCAGCACACTGTACCGGAGAGCAGAGCTTAGCTTTCTGGGACAGTGTGTTCTCTGAAGAACACACCCCCACCCACTAGTAAAATACTCCCCTCACACAGTTAACCCTTTCATTGTCTAAAAATGTTAACCCCTTTCTCCCCAGTGCCATTAGTACAGTGTCAGTGCTTTTTTTTGCACTGATCACTGTATTGGTGTCACTGGGAATGTTAGTGACCCCAAGTCAGTTCCCCCCAGTGTCAGAATGTCTGCCGCAGTCCCGCAGTCCCGCCATAAGTCGCTGATCGCCGCCATAAGTCATTGATTGCCACCATAAGTCGCTGATCGCTGCTATTATTAGTATACAAAAAAAATCCAGTATTTATACCGCCATTTGTAAGCGCTATAACTTTCACGTAACCAATTAATTTATTCGTATTGGGATTTTTTTTTAGTAAAGACATGTCGCAGAATACATTTTGGCATAAATTTTGATGAAAGTTTGATTTTTAAATTTTTTTACTGGACATGTTTCATAGCAAAAAGTCCAAAATTTAAGGGTTTTTTTTTTCAAAATTTACGTTTTTTTTTTTATAGCGCAAAACATAAAAAACACACAAGCGATCAAATACCACCGAAAGAAAGCCCAATTCATGGGGAAAAAAAATATGTAAATTTCATTTTGGTGCAGAGTTGCATGACCACGCAATTGTCAGTTAAAGTGACGTAGTGCCATAACACAAACTGCTTATGTAACTGGGTCCTGACCGCCCTATAGCATAAATACTGCTACAGGGCGGCAAAGGTGCGCAAAATCACATATATATAAATGATTCACGCTACTGTGGTTTTCATGCCCCTCCCAGATAGCGTCAGATTGCCCGTCAGTACACCAGTCATCACATTTAACCCTTTGATTGCCAGGAAGATGCTTATACACAATAAACCTCCATTGCTAGTATAGTGCCTGAACGGATCAATATCTTTGATCAGATCAGCACTATACCGGCATTCACATTATTATAGCGTCCCTAAAAATGCAGCGTTAGAGGGATCAGCCCCAGCACCTGCTAGCACCTGTGTTTAGCCCCTATGCTTAACCCCCCCTTCTCCCCCAGCAAGTGTCAGTAGGTCACTGTCACTTGATATATTGCACACAAAACCGCATCAGTCCTGATCTCTGTTAGCACTCACCGGTACATTTTGATGTCTCTCATATGCAGCAGAGTGCCAGTACTAGTGCCACGCTACCTTTTGGTGAACTGGCAAGTACTAGTGGCCTGTTACATCCTGGTCTTTCACATACCTCTTAGATTGTAAGCTCCAAGGGGCAGGGCCCTCCTAACCCTCTTGTATTGAACTGTATTGTTGCTGTATTGTCTCCCGTTATATTGTAAAGTGCTGAGCAAACTGTTGGCACTGTATAAATCCTGTATAATAATAATAATTCCAGCACTGCAGTATGACTTGGCGACGTGGCGAATCCCATAAGTGCAGTACAAGCTGGTGCGGTGGCGAGCACAAGTATTGTCCCGCAACCACCAAGAACTCGCACACAGGCCTGTAGAGCCCCAAGTATCCTTCCGGATGTGCTTGCAAATCCTGATTGGCAGTCCACAAATTCTGCAGCACCCGTACTTCCTCCATTCACTGCCCAACCCAGAATTCAGGTGGAAACAGCAAATCTAACTACTGCCCTTGATTTTTTGGAGCTGTTTTTCACGGAATTTCTGTATGCATTGATTGTGGATCAAATCATTTTATATACACAACAATTTATCGCCGCCAACCCAGATTCAAACCTTGCCAGACCATTCACACGGAAACCCATTACGGTTTCCGAGTTTATATTTTTTTTGGACCTAACCCTCAACATGGGCATTACTAAAAAAAAAGAATTGCGGTTGTATTGGTCCACAGACCCAATTCATCATATGCCTCTGTTCTCTGCTGCCATGGCCAGGCATAGATATAAGAGTATAATGTGTTTTATGCATTTCAATGACAATACACTCTGTCGTCCTTGGAGTGATCCTGGCTCCACAAAATTCAGCCCCTCACAAATCACCTTAACCAAAAATTTGCAGATGTCTATACTCCCCAGCAAAAAATCTGCGCTGATGAGTCCCTCATTAATTTTTCTGGCCGCTTTGCATTCAAACAATTTCTCCCCAGCAAGCGTGCCAGATATGGGGTCAAGGGTGCCACTATTTAGACATTTGTACAATCTTGGAACTGGTGCATGTGGCACCGTGTGACCTAATGTGTGCCCACCATTAGAAGTGAGTGGATGCAGGGGTGGTATATTCTAATGGTGGGCATACCACACACTTTTTCTGGCAGAGATTTCTTCTCTTTTTTTCATTCAGTCCACAGGCTGCAAAGAAAAAACTAAGAACATAGCATATACAGTAGCACCTCGGTTTACGAATGCCTCTGTCAACGTAATTTTCGGTCTATGAATGAAAATCCATTGAAATTAATACCTCGGTTTACACATTTTTTACAGATTTTTTTCACAATACAAAGTGTATGTCAGTGCTGATTTTTAAATGCAATTGCCGTCTTTTTTTTTTTCTTCACTATAGCTCACAACATTAGCTGTCAGTTTCCCCAGGAGCTACAGGATACTTTGTATCTTTTAAGAAACTGAAAGGAAACATTGTTTCTTATAACTTGGGGAAATAAACTAAAAGAAACTAAATTTTATTTATGTACCGTATTGCATGACCGCACAATTGTCAGTTAAACTAGTGCAGTGCTGTATAGCAAAATAATGACTTGCAGTATCTATACCATAGTTTGTAGATGCTATAACTTTCACACAAAGCAATCAATATACACTTATTTGGATTTTGTTTGCAAAAAACATGTAGCAGAATACATTTTGGTTTAAATTTAAAAAGGACATAAATTTCATTTGGGTACAGCATTGCATGACTGCACAACTATCAGTTGAAGTAGTGCAGTGCTGAGTAGCAAAAGAGGCCTGGTCATTAAGGGGGGTAAATTCTCTAGAGGGCTAATGGTTAATAGGGCTATTAAGTCCTGTAGGGCTTTGTTTGTATGGCCTCAGAATTATATTTGATCTGATTTTCTGAATAGGTACTTTTGAGTCTTAGGTTACGAGTGAATAATTGCGGATCTTTTGAAGATTTCAAATTTATTTAAATAGGCAGACATTGGCAGATTATTTTTCCGTAATTATGGCTACTAACAATACAAGTGCATTTGCATAGATGGTATGTACTTACTTTTTTGCAACACAGGTTAACCATTTTGGAACAGCATGCTAAAAGGTTTTTACTGTGCTAAATTTATTCTGTTACCGAAGGTACTGTATCTCACCATCTTTCTCACTAATACACCACTAAGGAAAGAAATTTATTCTGAACGCGTTGGGTGTCAGCTGGCTACATTATCACTGTAATGTAGCCATTATATTATTTTTAATGGACTAAATGTGTTGAATACAATTTTCTTGGAATTTTATCTCAGTACTTGTCTTCTTTGCAGATAAAGGCCCAAACAATTTTTGGGGGAATCTCCATTTTAGCTAAACTGTGTGCCAAACTAGCAGCATGAGCAAGTGAAAGTTACAGATAGAGTGAAGAAAGCAGCTTTCCCATCACACTCAAGGTAAGGTAGAAATTCAATAGAGACAGATTCCACAGTAATAGGAAGAGGAACTGAGCTGTAGGTGCATCTGTCAGGATGGACTGGCCAGCAATGGTGGGACTCACCTGCCTTTTGATCTGCAGTACCAGGGCTGGCCAGCGGGTGCTCCCAGCAATCAGAGACTCAACCTTTCAGCCAGCTAACACCTGGAACTGATGATACTGGTGTATTTAAGGGATGGCCAGACTTGCAGACTCTGCCTTGGTGTTGTGTTTGTCCTGGGCCCTGTATCTGTCCTGCATCCTGTTTCTGTTCCTTTGCTGACCCTGCCTGATCTGAACCGCTGCTGACTTCTCCTGCTCTGATCCCGGCTCGCTCCTGACCATCCCTCTGCCTGACCCTCTGTACCACGCTGCTTGCTACCTGTTCTTATCCCTGGCTTGTGACCCTGACCATCCCTCTGCCTGACCCTCTGTACCACGCTGCTTGCTACCTGTTCTGATCCCTGGCTTGTGACCCTGACCATCCCTCTGCCTGACCCTCTGTACTACGCTGCTAGCTACCTGCTGAACCTGGCCTGTGACCCGACCCATCTCCGCTTGCTCCCCCTGTACCTACCTGCCCTATTGATATTGACCCGGCCTGCCTGACGACGCTTGCTTGTATGTACTGTTATCTGTGGGTAGTTGGTTTGGTTTGTTTGCACTGTATTATGTTTTTAGTATTGCACTGCGTTTATGTTTGTATGGTTAGTGTTTAATAAATTATATTGTTTATCACATATCTGAAGTCTGCGTTTCCCTGCGTCAGTCACACACCTCTGGTCATACCCGGGAGCCCTGACATTACACCAAGGCCAATCCTGACCAGAAGTGGCTGCACAGGGAAGCCATCTTGGTTTGTTGATGGGAAGGATGGATCTGGATGAGGTTGAGTATTTATCTCTGCTAGTGCTTGATGACAGAAAATATGCTTATCAGACTCTGAAGGAGTATACCCGGGATGAACTGCTAGAATGTATATGGCTCGCTCATGTTCTAGTAGATCAGGGCACAGATTTTTCTCTATGGTGCAGCCATTGATTAAGGTTTGTGTTGAGTTGGTTTCATCTGGTTTCCCCGAATGCAGGGATGAATTTTTGCCACCATTTAGTGCAGACCAGGTAGAGTCCCTGGTATGGTTATTAGAGGATGATGTGGGTTACTTTCTGGAACGTTATTCCACATGTTCACCACAGATACTAAGAGATTGTATAAACGCAGTGCAGTCTTTGGTCAGACAGGCTTTTGTGTAAGCTCAGCTTTGTTCAACCCATACTGCAGACATGGACAGACTTGTTGCACCCAGCCTCAGTCAGCTTACAAAGACCCAGTCCTGCTTCTAATCTATTTCCTCAAAGCTCTACTACTCCTGCAATTCCCAACAACTCCCCCAGTTTACAGCCCAGTATACTTGGCTATCTACCTCATGTCAGTACCCTGTTCCCACTCGCTGCACCTATCCTGCCTTTAACCCTGTAAAAAAGCCCTCTGTAGCAACTGCTCCCTCTCCTGTTCCATCCTCCAGTTCTTCTCTGTCTCCAGCTTCTCCATTCGTTTTGCAGACCTGCGTTTACTTGCAGTGCTCCAGTAGTTAAAACCAGAAAAAAGCGAAAATTCTTTCCAACCAATACCATCCTGCCAGTATCCAAACCGGTGAACCTGCCTTCCGTGGTTCAGCCTGGATCCTCTACTCAGCCTGAAGCCTCTACTCAGCCTGATGCCTGTACTCAGCCTGATGCCTGTACGCAGCCTGATGCCTCTCTTCTGCCTGAAGCCTCTACTCGGCCTGATGCCTCTACTCGGCCTGAAGCCTCTACTCGGCCTGAAGTCTCTACTCGGCCTGATGCCTCTACTCGGCCTGGAGCCTCTACTCGGCCTGAAGCCTCTACTCGGCCTGAAGCCTCTACTCAGCCTGATGCCTCTACTCAGCCTGAAGCCTCTACTCAGCCTGAAGCCTCTACTCAGCCTGAAGCCTCTACTCAGCCGGACGCCGGCATTCAGCCTGATGCCTCTACCCAGCATGATGAACTGATCCAGCCTGACGATCCTATTAGGCCAGTTGACTCGATGCCCGCTGTTGATCCAGATGATCCGGTACCTGATCTGGTGCCCGCTATCGTGCCAATTGACTCAGAGCCCGCTGTCGTACCTGGTGACCCGATGCCCGCTGTCGAGCCAGACGATCCAATGCCTGGTGACCCGGTGCCCACTGTCGTGCCTGTTGACTCGGAGCCCACTGCCTTGCCAGATGACGCGGTGCCCGCTGTCGAGCCAAATGACCTGATGCCTGGTGACCCAATGCCCGCTGTCCTGTCAGACGATCCAATGTCTGACCCAGTGCCCGCGGTCATACCAGTTGACTCGGAGCCCACTGCCTTGCCAGATGACGCGGTGCCCGCTGTCGAGCCAAATGACCTGATGCCTGGTGACCCAGTGCCCGCTGTCATACCTGGTGACCCGATGCCCGCTGTCGAGCCAGACAATCCGGGTACCTGATGACCCGGTGCCCACTGTCGTGCCTGTTGACTCGGAGCCCACTGCCTTGCCAGATGAGACGCGTGTGCTCACTGTCGAGCCAAATGACTTGATGCCTGGTGACCCGATGCCCGCTGTCCAGTCAGACGATCCAATGTCTGACCCAGTGCCCGCGGTCATACCAGTTGACTCGGAGCCCACTGCCTTGCCAGATGACGCGGTGCCCGCTGTCGAGCCAAATGACCTGATGCCTGGTGACCCGATGCCCGCTGTCCAGCCAGACGATCCAATGTCTGACCCAGTGCCAGCGGTCATTCCAGTTGACTCGGAGCCCTCTGTCGTGCCTGGTGACTCGGTGCCCGCCGCTTCGCCTGGGGGCCCGAGACCTGTCGCTCCACCTGGGGGTCCGGCGCCCGCCGCTCCGCCTGGGGGTCCGGCGCCCGCCGCCCCGCCTGGGGGCCCCGAGACCTGTCGCTCCGCCTGAGGGCCCGAGACCTGTCGCTCCGCCTGGGGGTCCGCGCCCGCCGCTCCGCCTGAGGGCCCGAGACCTGTCGCTCCACCTGGGGGTCCGGCGCCCGCCGCTCCGCCTGAGGGCCCGAGACCTGTCGCTCCACCTGGGGGTCCGGCGCCCGCCGCTCCGCCTGAGGGCCCGAGACCTGTCGCTCCATCTGGGGGTCCGGCGCCCGCCGCTCCGCCTGGGGGCCCGATGCCTGTCGCCCCGCCTGGGGGCCCGATGCCTGTCGCCCGCCTGGGGGCCCGGCGCCCGTTGCCCCGCCTGGGGGCCCGATGCCCGTTGCCCCACCTGGGGGCCCGATGCCGGTCGCCCCGCCTGGGGACCCGATGCCGGTCGCCCCGCCTTGGGGCCCGATGCCTGTCGCCCCGCCTGGGGACCCGATGCCGGTCGCCCCACCTGGGGACCCGATGCCGGTCGCCCCGCCTGGGGTCCCGATGCCTGTCGCCCCGCCTGGGGGCCCGATGCCTGTCGCCCCGCCTGGGGGCCCGATGCCTGTCGCCCCGCCCGGGGGGGCCCGCTGCCTGCTGCTCCGCCCGGGGGCCCGCTTCCCGCTGCTACGCCCGGGGGCCCGGTGCCCGCTGCCCCGCCCGGGGGCCCGGCGCCCGCCGCTCCGCCTGGGGGCCCGGCGCCCGCCGCTCCGCTGGGGGCCCGATGCCTGTCGCCCCGCCTGGGTGCCCGATGCCGGTCGCCCCGCCCGGGGACCCGATGCCTGTCGCCCCCGCCCGGGGGCCCGCTGCCTGCTGCTCCGCCCGGGGGCCCGCTTCCCGCTGCTCCGCCCGGGGGCCGGTGCCCGCTGCTCCGCCCGGGGGCCCGGTGCCTGCTGCTCCGCCTGGTGGCCCGCTGCCTGCTGCTTCGCCTGGTAATCCGATGTGCCTCTGCCCGGAGTCCTGCCCGATGTGCCTCTGCTCGGAGTCCTGCCCGATGTGCCTCTGCCCGGAGTCCTGCCCGATGTGCCTCTGCCCGGAGTCCAGCCCGATGTGCCTCTGCCCGGAGTCCAGCCCGATGTGCCTCTGCCCGGAGTTTAGCCCGATGTGCCTCTGCCCGGTGTGCCTCTGCCCGGTGTGCCTCTGCCCGATGTGCCTCTGCCCGGAGTCCAGCCCGATGTGCCTCTGCCCGGAGTCCAGCCCGATGTGCCTCTGCCCGGAGTCCAGCCCGATGTGCCTCTGCCCGGAGTCCAGCCCGTTTGTGTGCCGCTGCCCGGATTTTTTCCTGCCCGGTGTGCCAGTCTTTGATATCCCGCCAGTTACCAGACCCGGGCTCGGGCGGTGGAACATTTTGCCCAGCTAGGACTGTTTGGAGCGTCCTGAGGCCGCTCCTTGAGGGGGGGTACTGTCAGGAATGGACTGGCCAGCAATGGTGGGACTCACCTGCCTTTTGATCTGCAGTACCAGGGCTGGCCAGCGGGTGCTCCCAGCAATCAGAGACTCAACCTTTCAGCCAGCTAACACCTGGAACTGATGATACTGGTGTATTTAAGGGATGGCCAGACTTGCAGACTCTGCCTTGGTGTTGTGTTTGTCCTGGGCCCTGTATCTGTCCTGCATCCTGTTTCTGTTCCTTTGCTGACCCTGCCTGATCTGAACCGCTGATGACTTCTCCTGCTCTGATCCCGGCTCGCTCCTGACCATCCCTCTGCCTGACCCTCTGTACCACGCTGCTTGCTACCTGTTCTGATCCCTGGCTTGTGACCCTGACCATCCCTCTGCCTGACCTCTGTACCACGCTGCTTGCTACCTGTTCTGATCCTTGGCTTGTGACCCTGACCATCCCTCTGCCTGACCCTCTGTACTACGCTGCTAGCTACCTGCTGAACCTGGCCTGTGACCCCGACCCATCTCCGCTTGCTCCCCCTGTACCTACCTGCCCTATTGATATTGACCCGGCCTGCCTGACGACGCTTGCTTGTATGTACTGTTATCTGTGGGTGGTTGGTTTGGTTTGTTTGCACTGTATTATGTTTTTAGTATTGCACTGTGTTTATGTTTGTATGGTTTAGTGTTAATAAATTATATTGTTTATCACATATCTGAAGTCTGCGTTTCCCTGCGTCAGTCACACACCTCTGGTCACACCTGGGAGCCCTGACAGCATCTCAGCTGCATAAATCGAAAGAACATACAGTTAGGAAGGGCATATTTGGATTTAAGATCCTAAAATCTCATAATAGTGCCATCCACTATAATATAACTCAAGGTTGTCTCTCCCCGAGCATACAGGAGCTTTGGATGGACACTGGGTGCAAATGAGGAAGGGAAGGATTACCCCATAGCAGGATATGCAGAGAGAAGGCATCCTCAGTTTGGTAGGTCATCAAAGCCTGGTTCCAAACTCTAATGGTGGCGCTCATGGGATGTGCGATAGAGGGTGGTCCCGTGGTCTCCTGAATACTAAGTTATTAAGTGCTTCGTAAGAGCCTACCAGAGCTTCCTCCAGGTCCACCACTGGGTTATGGGCAGACTAGGAGAAGCACCACCATATCATCACCAACAAAGCTTTTAATTATGCAAAGTCAACCCACTGCTAGAAAGGGGCATCTGTAATTTCATTTTTTCTAGTCAGGGGACCCTGCCAGCCCATACAAAAGAAAGAATAATCCCATCCAGTTTAAAAAACAGGCATTTAGGAATAGATTCTGAAATGTTCCTAAAAAAATAGCAACTTTGTCAGGGAAACCATTTTAATGATATATTTATTCTTCCCATTGGGGACAAGGCGTGGAACCTCCATAAAGCACACCAGCGAGTGGGTTGTGTAAACAAGGAATGTAAATTCTGCTATAGGTATGTGTCAAGGTTATTCCCAATCTTCACTCCCAGACAGGTAAGTTTGTTAACTCATTGGAGAGGCGTATTCATTATCACTCTAGATGGATGAAGGGGGAATAGAGATGATTTATCACAATTAATCTTAATCACAGAGGAGTCAAAGTGATCAATAATACGCAAAGCAGTAGTGTAGTGAGGAAGACACATCTTGAAGATAAAAGAATATGCTTTGTCTGCATATAGGGGATGTTTGTCCTCCAACAGCCTACCATAATACCATTCACTGTGGGATCATCTCTGGTAAGGAGTGCTAAGGTTTCTAACACCAACGAAAAAAAAAAATGAGGAGAGGGGACAGCCTTGTCTTGTTCCCCTGTGCAGAAGGAAGGGGTCAGACAGATTGCCATTTGTGTGCATGCAGGCCATAGGATTGGTATACAACATCTGTGACCAGAAGATAAATTTATGACCTTGGACAAATTTACCCAGAACCACCCAGAGGTTTCCCCACTTCACAGAGTTAAAGGCTTTTTCAGAATCCAAGGAGAGCACTACCCCTAGACAGTCTGCAGTAACCATGGCCAGGTGAGTAAACATCCTATGAATTTTGATGTCTGTGCCTCTACCCGGCATGAACCGAGGCTAGTCAGTATGAATCAATGCAGTAATAACAAGATTCAGGCAATTGGCCAATATCTTTGTTAATAACTTTGCATTCACATTAAGTAAAGAGATTGGACGATATGAAGAACATAGGTCAATGATCTTACCAGGCTTAGCACCACCACCCCACCACCACCACCACCACCACCACCACATCCTGCATTGATGATATCATTTTTAGTACCCCCAACTGCATATGTTGCACATCACATGTACAGTCTGCTTGTTGCACCGCTCAAATCTGGACCCAGCTCACTTTCCTGCTGCTCCACGCTGCACACCAGATGTACTGTCTGCACTGGAAACTTCCAGAATATATTGTATACACATGAACCAGAAGTGACTGCTGATGAAATTTTTCTGCTTCACTGGTTAGTTTCCCTGTGAATCCTGGGTTATCTCATACCTGCAATACCTTCAAAACAGTGAATGTAACGCTGAAAAAAAGCACTTCAAAAGGTGCTATTAGCGAGCATTGTCATAGACTTCTATGGAGGCTTTGGGGACTCTTTGAAGCACCAAAAAGCGACATGGGGTATAATTTTTGAAGTGAAGTGAAGTGTAGCAAAGGAAAGTAAACACAATAGTGTGAGCAGGATCGTAAG